AGACGGGGTTTCGCTCTTTCTCAGGCTGGACCTTGAGCAATCCTCCCACCTCGGCCTCCCAGAGTGCTAGGATTACAGGCGTGAACCACAGGCCTAGGTTTACTATTAATAGGAAATTCATAAGTGAGTCAGAGCTGGATGCTGCCTAACAACTAACTGCTAAGATTTGTAACGTATTTATATATGTCAATGCCTCATATTTTAGATTTTTGTTATGGCAGTGCCCTAGTTCCAGTACAAATTTTTTTATTAGTACAGAAAAGTTGATACAAAACCATCCCAAATATCTCAGTGACTTTGAACAGCAGAGATGTATTTCTCATTCATATGACTGTGTGTGTTAGCTGGGAGCTCTTTTCCACCTTGTCCTGACTCTGAGATCCTGGCTGATGGAAGCCAAGACAATCTGACACACTGTTGGTGTAGTGATTAAAGATGGCCACAAATTCTTTGTCACTCTTCCCGCAGCCCCTATCAAGAGTTTATTTCTCTTCCCCTTAAAACTGAGCTGGCCCTGTGACTGCTGTACCAATAGAATGTGCTATTTCCAGGCCTAAGACTTACAAAGAACTAGAAGTTTTTGCTTTTGTGCTTTTGAAAGTCCTGAGACCATGTAAGAAGTCAGACTACTTTGCTGGCGAAGCCAAGTGAAGAAGAGAGTCCCTGGAACAGCATGGGGAAGAAGAACGGCTTAGCCATTCTAGCAACCCAGTTGAGACTCCAAATTATCCCAGCCCCATACAATACCTGGCTGGAAGCACATGAGAGATCCTAAGCAAGATTAGGCAACTGCCCATTCTACCCACAAAACCATTAGAGGTAATCAAATGGTGACTTTTAAACTATTATACTAACATTTAGGGTGGTTTGTTATGGAACAATAACTAAAATACTCCGTCACCGTTGAAAAAGGAAAGAAAGCATGACAAATGTGCACAGGTTCTGAAAGCTTTTGTTTAGAAACAGCACAGGTCACTTCTAATCACATTTCATTGGCCATGCTTGAGGTCAAAGGAGAAATCCAAGTCTACTATGAGTGTGGGAAAAGAAATGGAAACATTTGGTGGCTAGTACTAATATCGATATCTCCCAGACACTCTGGGAGGCCAAGGCGGGCAGATTGTTTGAGCTCAGGAGTTCGAGACCAGCCTGAGCAAGAGCAAGATCCCGTCTCTACTAAAAAAATAGAAAGAAATTATCTGGACAACTAAAAATATATAGAAAAAATTAGCCGGGCATGGTGGCGCATGCCTGTAGTCCCAGCTACTTGGGAGGCTGAGGCAGTAGGATTGCTTGAGCCCAGGAATTTGAGGTTGCTGTGAGCTAGGCTAACACCACAGCACTCACTCTAGCCAGGGCAACAGAGTGAGACTCTGTCTCAAAAAAAAAAAAAAAAAAATCTCCCAGAGAGAAGTCGGAGATGATAGGTAAATCAGTAAGTAGATGAAGTGTCAGGGAAAAAAAGGTAACAATAGGAGAAAAGAATGTAGATGACACATGATTATAGACGACCTCTAGGAAACGTAGGGATATAAAGAAGAAAAGGAAGGTAGGAAGGAATAAGAAAAAGGGCATCTATAGGCGCAAAAGGAGAAATCTTAGAATCCAAACAACAGGTGTAATAACAGAATAGTGAAGAAGAGCATAAAAGGCCAAAATGGGTGGTATAAGCAAGGAATCCATGGAAATTTCAAGAAAGAATGTCAGTGTGGGCTGATACAGTCACAGGCTTTGGGGAAAAGTAGAATTAGAAAAAGAGTCAGAAGGAAACAGAATTTGGATGGTTGGACAGGAGAGAGGAGGGCACTCTCGGGGAAGAAACAGCATCAGTAAAGTCTTGGAGTGGGAATGAACCTAGCAAGTGTGGGGCATGGGACTAGGTATCATAAGGGGAAACATATCACCGTAACAGACGGCATCTGAGGGATGATTTGCCACGTGCAGAAGGGGAAGACAGGGAAGCCATTTAGGGATCTATCGAGGCCCTTGAGTGCAAACTGAGCATTCTGAGTTGTCCTCTACATTGCTGAGCACTCCCGGAGATTGATACCTGAGCAAAGGAAATCAGAATACAAGATTAGTCCCTTCATGGAGGAATGCAATAGAGAAAGACTAAAAGCAAGTCACCAGTTGGAAAGTTACAGCACTATTCAAAACAGGAGTATCCTATTGGGAGAGAGACTATTACCTAGGGAAGAAAATAGGAAGAACTTCCAATTAGACCTAGTTCAGGGGACCTACAATGAGAATAATCTACTTAGAAAACTAAAAAATTTTAAAAAGCTGGGGGAGGGAAGTCTTCAAATGTGAAGTCAAAACATTTATTTTATCAAAGACATAAAACTTCCTTACTTCCATGTTGGTTAGCTACCCAAAATTCCCCACCCCACTTCCTTGACAAGAGAACTTCAGCACTGTCCAATTCCTCTCTTCCTTCCAAACCAATCAGGGAAAAGAAACCTACACACTCAAAATTCAGCTCCAAGGTAAATCCTGATGGTCTAAGCCAGTGGTTCTCAACCATTATTACCCCTCTAGGGAGTGTGGGGAAGGTGGAGAGAAAGGGTTGCTTTTCTGTGTCACTATGCGGGGGTGTGCTAGTGATTTAATAAGAAGGAAATAGAGAAGCTAAACGTCCAGCAATGCACAGCACAGACCTGCATAAAAATGACCAAAAGCCAGACAAACACTAAGCAATCATGGTAGTCCCATGCTCCTTGTCAATGACTGCTTTAGGGGTAGTTAATGACCCAGTTCTAGCCAGTAAGATACAAGGAAGGACCTGCTCTGAAGCCTCTGGGGGTGCTTTCTTCCCGTCTATCAATGTCATCCCAATTGTATGAGACGCTTTTGATGCTACAGCTATCTTTTCCCCAAAACCAGTTTCTTCTCCATCGTCCTATTTCTATCATTGGCACCTCCATTTTCTGTTACCAAGTCCTAAAGCAATTTTGACTTCTCCTAACCCTTAATTTTAGGGTGACTATTCATTTAGGTTTGCCTCAGATAATCTGATTTTACTTCTCTTCTCCAGATATAATTATGAATAGTGCCCTCTTTTACTTCCAAAAGTGTTCTATATTGGAGGATAGATTATATGACCATTTACTTATTCCCAATTCTGTTTACTCTGGCCTCAAAAAAGTACCTCTAATGCAGGGGTCAGTAAAGTATGGCCTGCAGACTGTTCTTGCCCTCCCAAGGGCTAAATAATGATTTTTACACTTTTAAATGGTTGAAAAAATCAAAAGAATAAGATTTCATGACACCTGAAATTACATTAAAGTAAAATTTCAATGTCCATAAATAAAGTTTTATTGGAACACAGCCACTTCATTCATTTAAGTTCTGTGGCTGCTTTCTCATCACAATGCACAGTCGAACAGTTGGGATGGAGACCTTATGGCCCACAGTGTCTAAATATCATCTGGCCTTTATAGAAAATGTTTGTCAACCCCTGCTTTAATGCCACCACTAGTTCTGAGTGTCCTCACTTCATGCACAAATATGATAGCCTACTAACTGGTTTCCCATTCTTTTCCCCCCTCCAATCCTTGATACACCTGGTTGTTAGATCATCTCTCTAGGACGAGTTTTAATCCTGTCACTTGCTCCGTCAATATCTTCAGTGACTCCCCCAAAACCAACAGCATAAGGCCCAAACCTATTGTTTGATGCTAGGCTGTAGTTTTCCAGACTGTGCTCCTCCTCACTTAAAGCCTGAAAGGACCACTTTCTGTTTCCCTAATAAGCACTCATTAGCTCATACCATAAGCCCCCACGGCTTGCCCATGCCTGTCCTCCAACCCAAGGCCCACTCCCTTGATATACTTTAATTCACTTATCAAACCAGGTAGTTCATGGGGGAATGCTCAGACACAAGACAACCGACTAGGGCAGGCTTCGGAGGTCACATTTATGCCAAAATGTTAAGGCTATGAGAGCCTAAAAGACGTCTCAGGTACATAAAACAAAGGCTGTAAATAAAGCTGAATGGGCGAAAAGAAGGACCACTTCATCCTACCCACTATCCCCCACCGCCGCAGAAATTATGATTCAAGGAATAACGAGACCTTCAGTCTAAAAAATTCCACAACTGCAGCCTTGGCCAAAACCACCGGGGAGTTGGCTGTTCGGTGCCAGCGCAGGCAGCACGGAGATTGTTGATGCCAAAGAACCCCAGTGAGGGCTCCGTACATTCCCTCTACTCTAGGAAGATTCCAGCTTCTCAGAGCTGCTTAGTCTGCGCGCCCACGCTCCCGGCTTCCGACAAGCGCAATGGCGCCCTGGGAAGGGAGAGATTCTCCTCATCAGTTTGCGCCTTGCAGTTAAACTGTGCCGCGGCCTCCCACAAGCCACCTGCCCGCGCCCTCGACTGGGCGCTCCGACCGGGTAGCGCCCCCACGACCGCTTTGGTGCACGTTTAGCTCCAGGGCGGAGCGAGAGCAAAGTGGCGGGAGAGGCGGGAGTTCGCTAACGCGAACCCTGGCCTGGGAAGGGAAACGATTCCGGGGCGCACGCGCACAACGAGGAGACTGGGCGGAGCTTGCCGCCCGCAGGGGTTACAGAGGAAAGGGGAGCGCGTGGCGCTCGGAACCCGCGCACGCGCTGTGGCCTCCCCCGGCCCGTGCGCGCGCGCGGCCGGCGCAGCATCTATTCCTCAGACCCGCCCCCTTCGTCTATTTTACTCTGCGGAGGCGAGGAGAGAGAGCAGGGAAGTGTGGGGCTAGGTGGGCGGGGCGTCGCACGAGAGCGCGGCCAGCAAAAGAAGGGAGGAGGAGGGAGAGATTTGAGACAACGTTACCCCGTCAACACCCAATCAGGAGCCGGCCTGACCACGCCCCCTCCTCTCACGTTATTGGCTGGGAGGCCCTATTTGGGCGGGGCCGGCCGTAGGGTTGGGGAGGGCAGGGGGCGGGGAAGAGGAGGAAGGCGCTGGCGGGCAGTGATGGCGGCGGGTGATGGGGACGTGAAGCTAGGCACCCTGGGGAGTGGCAGCGAGAGCAGCAGCGACGGCAGCAGCGAGAGCCCGGGCGGCGCGGGAGGAGCAGCAGAAGGGGGCGGCTGGGCGGCGGCGGCTTTGGCGCTTCTGACGGGGGGCGGGGAGATGCTGCTGAACGTGGCGCTGGTGGCGCTGGTGCTGCTGGGGGCCTACCGGCTGTGGGTGCGTTGGGGGCGGCGGGGTCTGGGCGCCGGGGCCGGGGCGGGCGAGGAGAGTCCCGCCGCCTCTCTACCTCGCATGAAGAAGCGGGACTTCAGCTTGGAGCAGCTGCGCCAGTACGACGGGTCCCGCACCCCGCGCATCCTGCTCGCGGTCAATGGGAAAGTCTTCGACGTGACCAAAGGCAGCAAGTTCTACGGCCCGGGTGAGGAGTTGGACGGGGAGGGGGAGGACCCCCTGCAGCTCAGCCAACTCCCTTCTGACAAGGAGGCCCCTGGGCACCGGCTTAGCTTGCCCAGCTTTCTCCACGCCTGGACCCTCGCGCCTTGGCTGCCGCACCTAGGGCGGCCCGCCCCGCCCCACACACACCCTCAGCTGCGGGCTCCTCCACCTTTTCCCCCCCTGAAGTTGGGGTCCCGGCGGCGCCCTAGGGACCAGCTCTCAGCGTTCATCTTCTTCCATCCCATTTCTCTTTGCAGCATTTTCTTGTGCCGAATTGCTCAAAATCCTTATAGTTGTCTCCAGTCACTCTGGCCTTTAGCCTATCCTGAGTTTTCCGATTCCTGGGACGGGTGGGGCAGCAGGGAGGGAAGATTTCTAAAGTAAGGACCTAAAGTTTTAGGCCTTGTAATTCACAGCTTTCTTTAT